CGTGCTTTGCTAAGCTTGTTCTAAGTAGGTGCTCTAGACCACTGAGCCATCTCACCAGCCCCAACACTGTTACTCTTAACCAATGACCAAGGCATGGTACTTGCTCCTCCGTGGGTGCACGGCAGCAGCACTGGAGAATGGATGTTTATGCTACTTGGCCATAAAGACTGTGAATCGCAATCCCAAGCCCATTGTTACCTTCTTTATGTCTTCATGCTCATAAATGCTGGGAGCCAAGGCGGAAGCGAGCCTCTCATAAATGTCTGGTTTCCTAGACAGTTCCTTAAGCAATTCCACGCGTTTCTCTGAAAAAAGCTTCTGTTCTGCTTCTTCATCAAGGCCATGCAGCCGCTTGGCGTCCGTTTTCCGGTAATGGATGACATCAATGTGGGTCTTGTACACAGACTTCACGTTGCTCACTCTTGGGTTGACTCGAATAGGTACTGCACGATAGATGCCTGGGGGCACAAGCATGAGGCACACCTTGACGCCTGCACTGCTCCTGCGAGGGCCGGCAGCCCTGCACACAGCGGGAGGCACAAAGCCCGGCAGCCCTGGAGACAGTGGGCGGCACCCAGGCCAGGTGCTGCATGCCGAGCTCCCAGGGAGCCTCTGGGAGTCCTCCAGGCTCAGGACGTGGCCAACAGGAAAAGGCCAAGCTGAGGACACAGGTTTCAGAGAAGAGCATACCTGAAGTCATGTATGCTCGTGTCTACCTGCTTGCTGTGACTGTGGGCAACAATCTGAGCATAACCGCATGGTATCTACCTGATCTGGGGTGAAACCAAAGTGCCATGCCTGCAGCACAAGCCCTGGCTCGCGGTCATATTCATAAACAGTTCTTTCACTTCTCTACACTGAGCAAGCAGCATCTGCTTAGGATAAGGGCAATAAAATGTTAAAATCCCATGCCAAAACCTGGAAAGAACCAAAGGCAGTCGATTGAGTCAAAAGGAGAAAAATAACTATTTTTGATCAGTGATAGGGGGTATTTCTGGGTGTTTTCCTGAGAATGTAATTCCATGAGCGGTAGTGGGGCTCAGTGGTACAGTATTTGCTGGGCATGTGCAGGGCCCTTAGTTTAATCATCAGCACCATAAAGGCATTCCCCGAATCAAAAATGCAACTACCAATTCAGAAAAACATTTTAAAATAAAGATCATTTCAACCACGTCTCATGTATTCTCCAAAAAGGTCTCTCTTGTATTGGGTTTCAAACTGGAAGTCTCAAGTTTTAGGCTGATTCTGGTTCCTGTTTTTCTTTGAGAATAGTATGATGATATGTCCACTGTCTTTTTTTTATATGAGAGTTCAATGTAATTCATTTGAAACACAAAAACTAGCTTGTATGTAACATCCTTAGAATATACACAGCTATTCTTCCCATGAGGTTGAAAAGGGAAGGGGGAACTGTTCCTTTTGTATGAAGGGGCCCAGTTACCTTCCTTGGGGCACCACGCATTCTTTTTTTTTTTTTTTTTTGGTACTGGGGATTGAACTCAGAACCTTGCACTTGCCAGGCAAGCGCTTATTCTACTGAGCTATCTCCCCAGCCCCGGCACCACGCATTCTTTACATGCCCTGAGCCCCCAATAGTTTCAAAGTCATCCCATGTTAACTCCATCTTACAGGGGAGGAAACCAACATACTGAACTCACTAAGTACTTCACAGACGGTCACAAAGCACTTGGTGGCAGAACTGAGACTGCACATCTCTTCACTAAAGGCTACACCATACCTGTCCTCTATACACTTCTGTAACTGAAGACTGCAATGTAACTAGTGTTGGAGAAAGAAACGGTGAGAAATCCTAAGACAGCTGCAGATACACTGGGCCGCAGGCCGCAGGCCCAGGCTCCCTAGACTAAGTTCCCAGGTAAAGAACAATCCTGCTGCACACACTGGAGAAACTAGGGGCCTACATGCCTCAGAGGGCTGGAATGACCTGCCATCGTCATGCAGGGTGGTGGCCAGGGCACTCCTGGCAGGGAGAGATAGGGCCAAATCCCACAGCCATCATTTACCACTGGTGAGCCACAGCTACTCATCCTGCTTTAAGCCTCAGCCTCCCAGCACAGAAATGTGGCCCTTTGACCTGTCCTTCTGTCCTTTTTTTGGGGGGGCTGGCTCAGGATGCCTTTAGGGCAGGTCTGGCAAGGCCTGAGGATCTGGGGATCCAACAACAGCATCCTGAGCCTGACTGCTTTGTTTAAGCAATCACTTAAAGAGCTGAGTTAATGGGGAGGCCCCCTCCATTTGTGAAATAAGTAGAAAGTACTGTAAAACTCAAGAGTTGACACTTCCCTGAGCTGCTACCAACACAGTCCAAATCCTACCCAAGCGCCACGCAAAGCTACGCTCTCACAGCACCCACACTATCGAGATGCAGCACAGGGCTCTGGGACAGCAACACAAGAGGGCACAAGAGACCACGGATCAAGAGTTCCAAAATCCAAATCTGGGGAGATCTGAAAGATTTCACACTGCTGTGCCACGGTCAGATGCTAGAAACACAGTGGGTAAAGCAAGCATAGTCCCCGAAGCCCTGTATCTACAGGCAGCACTAGCCCCATCCTAGTAAACTTAGGCCAGCTAAGGACTCGGGTGTGACACTGAAAGTAGGCCAGGTTTCGGTCTTGTTGGTACCACCCTGCATGCTTACCTGTGACATTCACTCTGTCCCCAGGCTGAACTCTATCCACAAGATCATTGTGTGCAAAAAGGACAACAGTGTGTGGTGTCTGCCCAGCAGGCATGTCTTCAGGAGACTCCTGAAGTTTGATCTGAAGGAAAAGCAGTAAAGAGAAAACTTGGGACACAAACACATACAAAGCTGCTTTTGAAGTGATACTCATACACATTTTGCCAGGATGTTGTTTATTTGCATGTTTTTTAGGGGAGGGGGGTGGGGCCTTCCATATCCGAACAACCCCAGGCACTGCGAGTGTGGGGGTGAGCTTCTGCTCTGTCCTGCGCCCACCAGCTACTCCAAGCTCAGGCCCACGTAAGAGGCCTTTGCCCTTGTTATTCAGACCTCCCCCGGCTGGCCAGACCCAGCGCAGTCTGCCATCTGAGTAAGAACTTCTGCCGTGCTCTTGGGAGTCCTGCAGACCCACCAAAACACAACACT